AAAAGTAACTGATCTAAATGAAAAAAAGTTCTGAAAATGTTTTCTCGTGTCATCATCATCACAAATGGCTCGACAATCCGTTGTGGATCTTGGCCTGCTCACAAAGAAATCTCTACTCCTGTCGATTCCTGCTAACTTCCCTCCATCTTCTAACCCTTAGAATCTGTAGGTCTTCTTTAACATCATCAATCCATCTCATTCGTGGTCGTCCTCTGCTTCTTGTGCCCTCTGGTTTTGAAAATGTTAATCTCTTCGTGTATTCGTGATCTGACATCCTAGCAATGTGTCCAGCCCATCTAAGTCTCTAAACGAATTTCACAATATCTTGATCGGTGTATAACTGATATAGTTCAAAGATGTATCTTCGACGCCATAGCCCATTTTCATTTACGGCCCCAAAAATCATTCTAAGAAATTTTCTCTAAAAATAACAAGAAGTGTTTCATCGTTTTGAGAAAAGGTCCACATTTCAGCCCCGTATATCAAAACCGGTCTTATTAAGGTCTTGTATATATTAAGGTTTACTGCAGGTTTTATATTTTTATTTTTTAAATGTGTCTGGAGACCGTGAACAGTTCTGTTTGCTATTGCTTTGACTTGCTCAAAGGTATGGTTGTTAATTTGAATTCTCTTCTGTTGGATATTTCAAAGGTTTTTAGAAACCATCATATATTTGGTTTTTTCCTCGTTTACCACAAGTCGATCTATTAAAAATAGTTCCATTCATTCTAATATTTAATTGTCTCATTGCCTTTTCTCATGCGTCTTTTCCCTTGTCCTAATGTCTTAGACCATTATTAATGTCAAACAACATAGAGTTTTCTCCTTCAATTCTAACGCATGAGCTTACGTTTTGCATTCTTAGTTGGGTCAACTTAACTAACTTAGGTGGGATCCCAAAGTTTATCATTGCCTTATATAATGCAGTTCTTTTTACACTGTCATAGGCTGCTTTGAAGTCAATGAAGAGATGGTGTTATCTATGTTATATTCTAGTGACTTTTCTAGAATCTGACTATGTGCTTGAATTTGATGTGTAGTTCACTTTCCAGCAGAAAATCTGCATTGATATTGACCAAAAATATCCTTTGTAAAATTATTCTTTCAAACAATACATTGCCGAACATTTAATACGCAGATGATAACAGAGTATTGTCCTTATAGTTGTTACACTCCAATTGATCACACTTTTTATGCAACGAACATATTATTCCCTTCAGCCACTCTTCTGGCACCCATTTATTCTGCCATATAAGTACTATTAGTTTATGGATTGCTGCAAAAAGTTGATCACCACCTTTTTTTATACATTTCCGAACAGATTTCATCGATTCCTGGGACTTTATTGTCTTTGAATTTTAAGATCGCATTTGACACTTCTCTTGTTAAGTCTTCACTGTGTAGTTGACGTTGTAGATTTTGTTGATTTTGTATGTTGTACTCTCCTTTAATATCGTTTATATTTTTATATCTTTTATATTTCTTGTGTCATGTCTAAGTTAATTTTATGGGATTGTCACAATTAGTCCAGGCGATATGTTCTAAAACCACCTTATTTGGTAAATCGTATATAATCTTATTTTTTTGCTTTATTCGCTTCGAAATACTATTAGAAATGATAGTTTTACTATGCGGACACCTCAGAAGGTGGGCTAAATTTTTTTTGAAACATTTTGTGAAAAAGGTTTGAAAAATTCAATTTTTTTTCTTCTTTATGTTGCTACATCTCGGCAGCTATGCATTTTAGAAGCATTCTATGACGACAAAAAAGTTTTGCAATAAAATTTCCTACAAGATATAATTTATTGCAAATTGAAAAAATTATTAATATTGCAAAATTGCACTTATTATATAGAACGTACCGTTCTCTCATGAGATCAATAAAATTGTTTCACTTTCATTGAACGGTCACTATGGAATTTCTGTTGTTAGAGCCTAATCTTCAAAACCTATAGCATGGAATTTCGGTTTTGAGTTTTGGCAACAAATGTGAGGCATTTGAAATATGCATAAAAACGCTGAATTTAAACCCGCACATTACAAATGATCTAAAACTAAGTGTCAATTTTGAGACCCCAAAAAATATTCCAAAAATTATCATTTCTACCCCTCGGCTTTCCCCTAAACCCGCTCCCAGGGTTTAGAAAAAATAGATTTACCAGGAATCTGTACGCCGTAGAATTGTTTTAAATAAAAAATGTAGCTGAGATCATTTTGAAAAAATATGTTTATTAGCACTTTTATGTAGAACGAACCGTTCTCTCAGAAACAACGCTTGAAGCGACCGACGATTTAAAATGTCAGTTATGCGCGCGAAATCAATTTTAACTAAAATTTGTATCGACTCCACAGTAAAAATCAATATGCATTTTAAAGATGAAGAGTGCAGGTTTGTATGTTATATTGTATTTTATCGCAAATAAAGTCAGCTTTTAGTGGTGAAAAATAAATAAACGTTAAGCGATTTTTGCTTCTTTTTATAATTCTCATGAGATCAATAAAATGTATCACTTCCATTGCCGGTTACTATGTAATTTCCATTGTTAGCGCCTAATCTTCAAAACCTATAGCGTGAAGTTTGGGTTTTGGCAACAAATTAAGGCATTTGAAATATTTCTAAAAAAAGATGAATTTAATGAAAATGAAAAACATTTAAAACTTCTTTTCAATTACTCAATTACGTTTTTCGAAAATACACAACTTTAGTTACAAACTCAACCTAATACCGTCTCCGTGGAGACATTTCCAGTGACATGCAATCGTTTGTAAGGTAAAATTTTAAATTCTGCGTTTTTAGGCACATTTCAAATGACCCATATTTGTTACCAAAACTCAAAATCGAAATTTCAGGTTATAGGTTTTAAAGATTAGGCTCTAACAATGGAAATTTCAGTACGACCGGTCAATGAAAGTGATACATTTTATTGATCTCATGAGAATCGTAAAAAAATGGCAAAAATCGCGCAACGTTTATATATTTGAAGCATGTTTAAAATTTTTTAAAATTATTCCCCTTAGAAAATTACTTTCACGCTGCCTATGTCTATATATTTTGTTAAAAGCCTTCAAACTAACCCAACAGCAACGAGCGATTTGTTAAGCTTTTTTTTAACAATGAAATATTTCACCAAATGTTCCCTGTTCTCTTTATCTAGCCTTTGCTAAATAGAAATTTTTCCCAGTAACAAAGGAATCAGTGCCTAATGTGATATACCCGGTCTACCTTCTCAGCAAAGCAGAAGAGTTGGTTTTCGGTAAAAGTATAATTCCTGTCGGGAGAGAGTGGTTAGGTTACAAAAATGATCACACTAGCCGTGCTATTTAAATATCAATTTTGCGTGGCACTCTTCAGCCAATACTCCCACTCCTTTTTTATCTTTAGCTTGCCTAAGATCAGAATTCGAATTCATTTTCGAGTTGGTTCCTGTGGCGAGCGGTTTCTCTCCATCACACGGCGACGTCTTCCAATTCGAAGTCACTTCTCTTTGCCGATCATTCATTTCTACCATCATTCATCTCTACCATCATTCATCTCTACGATCATTCATCTCTACCTTCATTCGTCTCTACGTTCTTTTGTCCCTTCATTTATCTCTACTACTTACTGTGCTGTTCTTGGCTGACTGTTTCGCTTTTCGTCGGCCTAAATCAATATGAGAGATTACAAATTGAAGACCGTAATTCGTTGCTGTACCTACCGTCCCAACTACCAGTTGCCAGGACCAAGTGTCAAGTGGCTTTATTGAGGGCGTAACGCCATTACCTGTGTCCACCTGTTGTCTACTGTATTGTGAGTACCTATAAATTTTATTGACTAAAGCTCAACTTCGATACCTAAATCGTAAGAAGTTGATTTACAACATTCAGTTTAGTGACTTTGCTATTTATGGTTAACTCTAACCGAATGAACTATCACGGGTACTAACTTACGATATAATATATATGTATAAATTACGAACCATTTAAATTATATTAATGTAGGTTATATTTAAGATAAATTTTATGAATAGATTTGAGGTGATCACGTTAAAAAAAAATTTAGTAAATGTTTACGTATTCTCGAGGCATAATAATAATTTATTTGACGAATAGTGACAATTATAATATTCCTTGTTTTTTTTTTCTATTCTTGAAAATACTACATTATTTAGAATTAGTTTTCAAAAAAGATATTTTGTTGTTGTATTCGATAATAAATTATGCAATCACTTATCTCGTGCCATTTAACTGTGCCGTAAAAATTGTTATAGTGCATTTTTTTTACTACTATACTTCACTATAACTTTGTTGACGAACTATTTGCCAATTCGACCCTCATGTTTTTACCTAAAGCATGTATTTAATATACCAATCCTAACTTGTTCAGAAGAACTTGTTGGAACAATGAGAAAATGTTCTTAATATCAAAGGTCTTAAATATAAAAGAATACAAAATCAAGGTTGTACTTCTAGATTAGGATTACAAAAATGTCACAGATTGATACATTTACATATTATATACTAATTATCGTATTACATACATCCAAAAATTATTCCTAAAAAATATAAAACCTTAATAGAAAACGCAGATACTATATACTAAAAAGATACTTACCAAAACAGTTCATATTAGAGCACATAGACTGAATCATTTTATAAAAAACTAAATGTTTTGCATTTTATTCATCTTATTGCATGTGCTTGTCATCAATTTGTATGTTACTTTTATGTCGTTCATTATTATAAGTATTTCGTCTCAAAACTTGTGACTAATTATTTAGTAGATTTTGTTCATATATCAATAAAAACATAAATATATAACATGTCGTTCGAATGCGTATTAAAAATATGTTAAGTGTTATACGAAAATCGTTTAGATAAAAAAAATAACAAAGGGGTACAAAATCATTTGTGTTGTCTGTCTCCATATATAGAACACTAAATTAGTATACCATACAATAATAACTGTATTTGCTAACAATTAAATAAGTTAATAATGATTTTTTGGTGCTTTTTTATAGAGCAGGGCACCAATTTCCGCCAAGCTCGTCGCAAACATGCTGTCTGTTGCGGGAGCCGACCATATAATCACCATGGATCTCCACGCATCCCAAATTCAAGGCTTTTTTGACATTCCAGTAGATAATTTGTATGCCGAACCCGCTGTGTTGAAATGGATCAAAGAAAACATAGCAGAATGGCGAAACAGTATAATAGTATCTCCTGATGCAGGAGGTGCTAAGAGAGTGACCTCGATCGCTGACAGGCTTAATGTTGAGTTCGCTCTTATCCACAAAGAGAGGAAGAAGGCTAATGAGGTAAGGGCAGTACATTTATTTAAATCATAGTTTGGAAATTTTTTAATGATCACAATTTGGATTGGAAAATGTGTAGTTTTATTTAAAAATAATCTTTTTCTGAGAGTGCCATTCCCCTACGGAGGGTGGCAATCATAATGGCTATTTTTATTTTAGAACTTGCTGCTCTAAACAAATCAATCGATCTGCATTGATAGCAGTCACGTAGATTCTTCAACCATAAGTTGTGTGCTGTAAGCTGTGTTATGAGTCTCAAAATTTCATATTTTGGTACCCTCATCACGTGGTCTAGGTATTCCAGTTTTCTGGTTTGTATAGTGGTGATTAGTTCTGTTTATTTACCAACCCTCTCCAGTACTTCTTTATTTGTAATTCTATCAGTCCATGATATATTTAATACTCTGCGGTATAACCAGAGTTCGAAAGCCTCGATTTTTTTTTTAAATTACCTTTTTTTAATGTCCAAGTCTCAGCTCCATATAATAATATTGAAAATATATAACAGCGAATGGTACGTAGTCTGATCTCCAAATTTAGATTTTTGTACATTAGGAGTGGCTTCATTCGTATAAATGCTGATCTGGCATTCTATATTCGCCTGTTCATTTCTACAGTATGATCATTGGTTTCATTGATCAAAGTTGCAAAGTACTGATATTTTTCTACTTGTTCTATCACGTTACCTCTGATTGTCAATAGGTGATGTATATTTTGTGGTCTTTTTGTAATTAGCATGTACTTCGTTTTTTTAGCGTTTATAGTAATTCCCATCTCAGCACTATTCATACTCAAGCTTTCGATAAGATGTTGTAGATCCTCTATACTCGTTGCTATGATCACAGTGTCGTCTATCGTAGTTATATATCGTATATCGTAAGTTGTTAATTAATTTTCCGTTAACGGTGACTCTCGCTTCGATATTATTGAGCGTGTTTTGAAAATTTTCTTCAGAATATAAGTTAAACAAAAGTGGCGATAAAACACATCCCTGCCTAACTCCTCTACAGATCCTCGTTTCTTTTGAGTGTTGCCCATCAATTTGAACTATGGCACTTTGGTTCCAATATAACGTTTGCACTATATTTATGATTTTACTATCAATGCGCTTGTTCATAAGTATTGATATTAGTTTTTCATGTTTTTATTTTATCGAAAGCTTTTTATATATTTATATATCAAATTAATACAAATTGAAACAAGAAAATGCAAAAATTGTTAAAGCATTAATTAAGAGCATATGGGCAAAATGCAAAACGAAAAATAAGAATTTTTGAAAAATTTAAACGCAGAATCAAATATTGCGTTATTACCGAGGGCCGAAAGTTCTTTAGAATAACCAAAAAGTTTCTTTTGAATGAGATATTTAAAATTAAAAGTCACACTCAATTTTCTCTTCATTTTCAACCCTGTAACTTATTAAAATAACCATTATAGAAGTTTTCAGGGACTTTCGGCCTTCGATAATAGCGTAATCTATCTTTCATTCTACGTTTAAATTTTTCTACTTATTAGGTAGTTTTCTCAAGATTCGAAAAAAATGAATACATTTAAAACATATTGAACATTTTGACAAGCGACATTTTGCGCCTATGCCCTTAATGGATATCTGTAGCTTGGAAATATGTTTCGCCAGTCAAAATTTCCAAGTGTTTTAGAAAAGCAGGATTTTTTTAGAAACTTCCACCAGCTCAGCCTTTTTTTAATATACAAACTAAAGCCGGATTTATAAACGGACATAAACATAATTTTAGTCTTTACCCATAATCTTATTATATAAGCCTAATGTTGAAAGTTAATAAATAAATGTACCCATTTAAAAGCATTCATAATACATAAAACATAAATTTAGTCCTTAAAACGTGACCTTCAAAGTTGGTAACTTTCAACATTTATGAATTAAGTATTAAACATTATGGAATTGTTGGAATATGCGCATGTGTAATCCAACGTAAAAAATTAAAGAACTGTTCCTCATCCCATTCCTTATCACGCTTTCTATTTATGGGTCTTACACTATACCTTTTTACTCTTCTTTGCTTATTAAGAACTCTGGCAGATATAGTCGCTACAATTGTTAAATAAAGTGGGACTGCTGCCATGGCCAAAGCAACTTTTCTATTAATCTTCATATTTATTTAAAATTATTTCACTTTTCTATGAATCTAAAGACAAGAAAAAATTCTTCATGCTCTATAAAAATTTGGTTAGGTTTTTATTTTCTGAAGTAGTTTTTAAATATTATGGTTAGGTATTATGTCTAGTTATAAACCAATCTTAAATCTTGTAAATTATGATTGTGGTTAAAGTTATGTTTATGACTTATGATTATGTACTATGTCCGTTTATAAACCTGGCTTTATTCGTTAAATATTAAAGATATGAGTGACTCGTTAAATTCCCGAAATTCTAAAAAAATGAAAATATCTAGTTTTACCAACACTCACCTCCGTATATCGGCCATTTTATCAACAATATAAATGAACAATCTGTACATGAGATGCATTATAATTCCAAAAAAAATTTGATTTCAAGTATTGTGATTTTAATCTTGTTTTAAGGTTGCCTCTATGGTATTAGTAGGAGATGTCAAAGACAGAGTTGCCATTTTGGTAGATGACATGGCTGATACTTGCGGAACCATATGTCATGCAGCTGAAAAGTTGATGGAAGCCGGAGCTACCAAAGTGTATGCCATTCTAACGCACGGTATTTTCTCCGGTCCGGCCATTTCCAGAATAAATAATGCTTGCTTTGAGGCTGTCGTTGTAACGAACACAATACCTCAAGATGGCCATATGAAAGACTGTTCTAAAGTACAGGTAAGTTGTTTTAAAATAAATAATAAAGAAACCGAAATCGCCATCGTGGACGCGACCGCAATTGTGGTCGCTTAGATGTATTCTCCGCTTTATACAGCCTTAATCACTATCTCGCTATGCAAACAAGCATCAACCGATTGCCTTAACTTAAAAGATTGAAAGTGTGCTTACCAAGACTATTTGTCTTCTATATCAAGCCATATACATATCTTGTCGGCTTTATGGCTCAATTAGCTGAAGAACTCACTTCGATAGTGGACTATAGTTTTTAACTGAATTCGCGAGGTTATAAGTCGTGCGGTGAGCTTATTACCATTACTTGAAATTTCTGACTCGTGGAAATATATCATATTTAGTTTGATATTCAGATATAGTTTGACTAACAAATGTTTCTCTTTTTCAGTGCATCGATGTTTCAATGATGTTTGCCGAAGCAGTAAGGCGTACACACAACGGCGAATCAGTGTCGTATTTATTTTCCAATGTTCCATATTAGTGCACTAGTTCTTTATACAATATATTGATTTTTTACAAAAAAAAATAGAATTTAGGTATGACTTGTAGTAATTTTTTTTGACTTAATATTATGATCAAGTAGTAAGCGTTGAAAATGTGATACATTGATTTAAATAACAAAAATTATGTCCAATTAATTTAGCAGAAAGTTACCTATCAGTTTGATTTTGTATGCAGCCTATATATTTTAAAATTTGGTAAAGATATGAATATTGTTGAATAAATAATGTTTGTTTGTACATTTCTTATCATCTAAAAACAAATTAATGTGACAACTGACAATCTTACTGATACATCCACTACTATACCCTAATAACACGAGTTATTATACTAAGAGAGAAATAAATCCAAAATACTTTTTTCATAAACATCTTAAGATTTGTTACAATCTGTTTTACAATAAAAACAATAAGAAAAATTGTTTATCATTGTATTGTCAGAGAGATATAAGGTCCAGTGACCAAAGCATCAGTGCATATATCGACTTGTTTACCGCTAGGATGCGCACATAAACAGATATGCGATCACGAAAACTAAAAATGTCACAGAACACAATGGCTGGGCGCTGTTAAAGGCGTAGCTTCCACTACTGTAGGCACTGTCAGGATCGGTTAGGTGAATCCAAGGGATCATATAGCTTCAATCTTTTCGCTTGTTGGTTGTTGAGACGATTGTACGCCAGGATGTTAGGATGTATGTGCAATCTATTTTGATATTGTTCAGAATTTTTTTTGGAAATTGTCTCTTCATAGAATTATTATCTGCAGATCTCTATGTAAGGCGTCATTCTATATACAGTGTAGGAAAAATTTTATGTGTTCTTCTTTTATTTAAAATGTTACAATTCTACAATATTTTATGAATATAGTGGCTAAGTTAGGACATACATGGCGATGGTTTTTCCACCACGGTAATGGACAGTTCCAATCTCCGTTCGAAATTTATTGTGGGTAATATATTATTAGACAAATACATGTCGACTTCTTGTATATCTCTCGATACAGTTGTATGTTTAGATGAGTCATGTCCAATTAATTCATCAAAAATACACAATGGACTTAAGTCATCTTTATCAGTTTCTTTTTCTTGACTAAACTTATTGATTTACTAAACTTATGCAAAGACTCGTTTCATCCGTTTTCTATAGGTGAAGAACCAGATTTTAAAAAGTTTGCAGGGTGGATTCCTGGATATAAACCGCCAACAAGAAAAACTGTTAGATTCATTACCTCAGGAATGTTATGTCAATACTGATTTGATAAAAGATAAAAAAAAAGTCCTTTTTTCGACAATTCTGCAAAAAACATTAAAAAAGTACCTTATCTTCAGAAAGGCTTAATTACAACATAACAAAGTTCCCAAACGGCCAATCCAAGACGTGGAAACTAGGTAGAACTTCACCTATTACAGGTTAAAAAGAATGACTGAGTTAGAAGAGGCAATCCGTTTCACTTCTTCTTCTTTAAGTTCCATCTTCTATCGAAGGTTGGAAATCATTATGGCTATGCCGACTCTGTTGACTGCCGCTCTAAAAAGGTCTGCACTTCTGCATTCAAACCATTCCCTTAAGTTCTTAAGCCAGGATATTCTTCGTCTTCCCACATTTCGCTTTTCTCGGATTTTGCCCTGCATAATAAGTTGTAATAATGCGTATTTTTGCCCTCTCATCACATGTCCCAAGTACTCAAGTTTTCGTCTTTTAATAGTTAATATTATTTCTGCCTCATTTCCTATCCTTCTAGTTACTTCAATGTTTGACATTTTTTGAATCCATGATATTCGTAGGATTCTTCTGTAACACCAAAAGTCAAAGGCGGCCAACTTATTCAGATGAACTTGTTTTAGTGTCCAAGCTTTCAGACCATAAAGAAGAGTAGAGAACACGTAACATCGAAGCATTCTCAGGCGTAGTTCTAACCTTATATCCCGACAACAAAGAAACTTTTTAAGTTTAATAAATGATGTACGTGCTATTTCAATACGTGTCTTAATTTCTTTGATTTGGTCTACATCTGATGTTATCCATGTTCCTAAGTATTTATAGTTATTAACACTCTTAATTGCAGTATCTTCAATAGTCAATTGGATATTTGTGCAGATTTAGTCATGATCATGCATTTAGTTTTCTTTAAATTTATCTTCAGTCCGTACTCATGACAGCGTTCATTAAGGCGTTGCATTAGGTTCTGTAAATCATTGTTGTTATCCGTAATTATTACTGTATCGTCTGCAAAACGTAAGTTATTCAAAACTTCTCCATTGATAGATATACCTTCTATTGAGTCAGAGAGCGCTTCTTAAAATACCGATCACTGTAGACATTGAAAAGTAGTGGGGACAGCACGCAACCCTGGCGGACTCCTCTCTGTATTTTGATATTTTCGGTGTACTGGCGTGTATTTCCGTTCCACATCGGTATTAAATAATACAGACTTAGACCAAATCTAAATAAAAAACACTGGATTATTTGTTCTCAGCTTTCCCAAATTTTACGGCCGTTTAAAGAAATAACAAGTACAATGAGTGACCAAAAATACTTGAAGGGTAGTTCAGTGATTGTTATGGTACGCGGCCTGCAAGAATCTTGCAAGAAAATGTTAGCAAACGGTAACCTCACATCCATAGTATCCGACGTAGTACAATTACTAATATCGGGTTTAGCAAAAATATTTAAAGGGATAGAACAGAGTGGCATATTGTCATTATGTACATTTATGGATTCACCATTTAAAGTGCAGGGTTTTTCTGATAAAAATGAAGATAAAAAAATAAAAGAAAAAGTTAAGAAGCTGGTTACTTCTATAATTAACGAACAAGAAGATTGTACTATTGAAAATCAACCAGTACAATAAAAAGAAACCAATAAAGATGACTTAAATCCATGGTGTATATTTGATCAATTAATTGGAGATGGCTCATCTACACGTACACTTGTATCGAGAGTCCATTACAACCATCGAGCAATAAGACAAAAGAGAGAATGTAAAGGTAGTGGGGGTAAACATATTGATAGACAGGAAGTGCCATCTTGAGAGGCCACTTTAGACAAGGATAGAGAGTCTCTTTCCTTGTTTAAGAAGTCAAATTTAGTTAGGTTATGTTATTGTTTGTCCCAACTGTCACATGAAATTTTATTTATATTGAAATCTTTTACCAATTGTGTCACTTTTTAGACTATTATAGTTAATGTTTAATTAAAACTTTCTCGTCTGAAAAATATTTTATAGCTATTGTTAATAAGTGTTGGAAAATTTAAATTTAGCGCCTTTGCATTTCCGGATATGTCCGCCATCAGAGGCCACTTTTTTGGTCTCCTTTTCATAACGATTAGATTCCCTCTTTTATCTTTTTGCTCGATGATTACAACGGTGGAAAAACCATCGCCATGTATATCCTAACTTAACCCCTATATTCATACAGTATTGTAAATGTGAACACATGTTCAAAATCTGGTTTAATTTGAAATAAAAAAAGAAGACGGTTAATAAGAAGCAGGTATAGTAGAAAAACTTATGTTTTTTAATGTCAATTTAGACTATTCGCGATTTAATAATAACGTGTAATGTAAATGTAAGTACGATTTACTATTTGTCATCGAGCAATAAGACAAAAGAGGGAATGTAAAGGTAGAAGGGGTAAACATATTGATAGACAGGAAGTGCCATCTTGAGAGGCCACTTTAGACAAGGATAGACAGTCTCTTTCCTTGTTTAAGAAGTCAAATTTAGGTAGGTTATGTTATTGTTTGTCCCAACTGTCACATGAAATTTTATTTATATTGAAATCTTTTACCAATTGTGTCACTTTTTAGACTATTATAGTTAATATTTAATTAAAACTTTCTCGTCTGAAAAATATTTTATAGCTATTGTTAATAAGTGTTGGAAAATTTAAATTTGGCGCTTTCGCATTTCCGGATATGTCCGCCATCAGAGGCCACTTTTTTGGTCTCCTTTTCATAACGATTAGATTCCCTCTTTTATCTTTTTGCTCGATGCTATTTGTATTGTTTAGTTTATTTTTCAAGTTATAATAAATATATCATTAGTTTCTTTCACTTCAATAAATATACACATAAACGATAATAGCCATTATGTTTGTTTATGTAGGTACTCTCTTACTTGAAACTACTTTTAAACAATCATAGTTACTTGTTTACAAAAATTAAAATTTTTAAATTCATTCATTTTTTTTGGAATCCTGAGAAAACTAACAAATATTTTTGAAAAATTTAAATGCATAATAAAAGATTACATTATTACCGAGGGCCGAAAGTCCCTTAGAATAAACAAAAAGTTTTTTGAATGAGATATTTGAAATTAAAAATCATACTAATTTTTTTTTCGCCCTTATAACTTATTAAAATAAACATTATAGAAGTTTTCAGGGACTTTTGGCCCTCGGTAATAATGTATTGGTTCATTCTGCGTTTAAAGTTTTCAAGAATATTTATTAGTTTTATCAGGATTCGAAAAAAATGAATGCATTTAAAAAATATTAATCGCTCTTACGCTCTTAACGATAAAATTACCACGACCCACCTCTACTACCCGTTACTCGGTATTCTGACCAGACGGATGACGTTGCCAAATAAATTATTGTGTGTGAATATTTTTTAATGTGGTGTTATTGTATGCAGTTTATTATTTCATATTGGGAATAAGGCACAATGTGACTTTAAAATAAGCTTATTTTGATGTTTAGATTTTTAATTCGGAAATCGTACTTAAAATACGAAACATTAATAAATTTTATTTAGGTATATAAAAGGATTTCCAAAGTGGAAATCAAAATGTTATATTACACTTATTATAAAGTAAACTTGTGGCATATTCCCAATAAAAAAAAGAACAGTAAGCTGCCATTTAAATCAATTTCGCCCAAATTGGATTATCTTAGAACATTGTTCAAATGCAAAAAAAAACAACAGGTCAAATAAATCCAATAAGTTTGGCAACGTTGAACTTCCCCTTTCCAGGCATGCCTGTTTGTCGATATAAAGGGCGGACCTAATATACCTCTCTTTTTCTAAACAGCTGTTTCTCACTCTATCTCACGTAAGGTCCATACCGACCATAAAATTTTTCCTACACTGTATACCAAGGGGCATTAGCCATGGTTCTTAGAATTTTAGATTGAAATCTTTGTTTTCTTAACATTAGATTTGATAGCTGATCCCTAGAGCTGTGCACCATATGACCAAATGGGTTTTATTCATCATCATTATCAGGGTATTCT